GGGCAGCTGTACACATCATCGTTGGAGCCACACGCAAGTGTGAGTAACGATCCAAGAGCAAGTCTTATCCGACACTATTCCGATGATATCCCGGACGTCAGTCTAAGCGAGATTAGAATGGCTCTCCAGCACCTTAAAAACGGCAGGGCCCCAGGCGAGGATGGAATTACAGCGGAGCTTCTGAAAGCGGGTGGAACACCGGTACTTGAAGTCCTTCGGAAGCTCTTCAATTCCGTCCTCCATGGTGGCACTACTCCAGAGGCGTGGAGCAGAAGTGCGGTGGTCTTGTTCTTTAAGAAAGGCGACAACGCTCTCTTGAAGAACTACAGACCGATTTCCCTTCTGAGCCGCGTCTACGTGCTGTTTTCGAGAGTCATTACGAATCGTCTCGCACGCAGACTCGACGACTTCCAGCCTCCCGAACAAGCCGGTTTCCGAAAAGGCTTCAGTACCATAGACCACATACATACCCTGCGGCAGATTGTACAGAAGACTGAAGAGTACAATTTGCCACTTTGCCTGGCGTATGTGGACTATGAGAAAGCCTTTGATTCCGTCGAAATTTGGGCGGTGCTGCAGTCCCTTCAGCGGTGCCAAGTTGACTGTCGGTATATCGAAGTGCTGAAGTGTTTGTACAGTAGGGCTACGATGGCTATCCGAGTACAGAACCAGAGCTCGAAACCTATCCAACTGCAAAGAGGTGTAAGACAGGGTGACGTTATATCCCCGAAACTCTTCACCGCTGCTTTGGAAGACGTTTTCAAGCTACTGGACTGGAAAGGATACAGTATTAACATCAATGGCGAGTATATCACTCACCTTCGATTTGCCGACGATATAGTCCTTATGGCAGAATCGCTGGAGGACTTAAGCACTATGCTTAAGTCTACTCATAAAAGAACATAGGCCTCCCCCAAGTAATGCCACAAAGCACGGTCCTGAGCCACCTGCATCCATCGACTTCCTGCATTTCTTACCAGGTCGTCACTCCATCTAGTGGGGGGTCGCCCTACACTACGCCTACCGGTACGAGGCTGCCACTCGAGAACCTTTCTTCCCCATCGGTTATCGGTTCTTCGAGCTATATGGCCGGCCCATTGCCACTTCAGCTTACTAATCCGTTGGGCTATGTTGGTCACTCTGGTTTTACTGCGGATATCCTCATTTCTGAGTCTATCACGCAGAGAAACTCCGAGCATAGCCCTCTCCATAGCTCGCTGAGCGACCTTGAGCGTTCTCATACGGCCAGCAGTGAAGGACCACGTCTCTGATCCGTAAGTCATCACTGGCAACACGCACTGGTTGTACACTTTAGTTTTCAGAGATTGAGGTATACCTGACGAGAAGATGTGTCGTAATTTCCCGAACGCTGCCCAGCCGAGTTGAATCCGTCGATTGACCTCTCGGTCGAAGTCGGACTTACCTAGTCGGACTATTTGTCCCAGGTAAACGTACTCGTCAACCAACTTCGAGCATAGTGCTCCCAACAACTACCGGCATAGGTGTGACATGGACATTAAACATGATCTTTGTTTTGTCCATGTTCATCTTAAGACCTATCCGTTGGGAGGCACTATTGAGTCAAAGACCTCAATAGTGTCTCTGATATCAGACTTCTATCAAAACTTTAAGACATCCGCTTGTATCAAAGCACGGGTGCCGACTGGTTCTGGTCTTCTGGTTGTTCTAAATCGTAACGTTGCCATTACACTGTCCTAAATTGTTTACAATTTAGGACAGTGTAATCGCAATGTTACGATTTGGACCTCCTGCGATAGAGCGATTGGGACCTCCAATTCGACTAAATCGGATCCTAACTGTTCTAACTACGATTACACCTTCCAATTTTTAGGAAATTTAATTAGAGATTAGAGAGCAGTACTTTAAATCTTAATATTAATTTCCGGTGGCTATAAAACGTAATGTCACCATCAAACATTCTTTGGTACTCACACTTTATCGAAATATCGTGACTTCTTTTTCAATATGTTTGGATACCAAACTTAACAAATTTTCAAACTGTTTTATAAGTCGTAGAGCTACGCTGCAGTTATATTAGTAGTATAGTTGTAGCACGAATGGGTCGGCTCGACCGAGGAAGCACCACGCTCTCACAGAATACCAGCGTAAAATGTTGCTGTGTTTCGTAAGGCGAGTGTAGAGAACCGGAGACCCTTTTTACTGGAATCGAGGCATTCCATCTTAGTCGTTACAGGTGACAACGCATCTGCATTTTGATTCGTTATCGAGGATAGATGTAGATGTCTATGAGCTACAGCAACCACTTACCATCAGGTGGACTGTGTGCTAGTTTGTCACCCTATCCTATAAAAAAACTGCTTAGAATCTAAAAATATATAATTATATTCATATTGGACAGTTTTTTCTCAATGACAAGTACTCTTTTCTCTTTTTTTAATATCCATTGTTCCCACCATGGCTAAGGCAAGTCTTATTTTCCGCTATTTTGATAAATAGGGCGCCATCGATCAAACGAGCAACCCCGTCGATACTTCTTAAGGTGCTACCTCCAGCGAACGACCTTGAGCGTTTGGTCTGTCGACGCTCGCTACAATATATCGCGTAAGAAATCGCCAAAAGACGCCACCTACTGCTACGAACGTAGTATTATTTTTTCAATGTCAATGAACTCTTCTATGGAAATAGACACGGCGTACAATGATAAATGTATTTTAATTTTCTTTATTCGGTATATTAGTTGCATTATATTAGAATTATGTATTCTAATATATTATCTAATTAATAAAAATGACTATTTTGATTATTTTTAACTATATACTATACTGCTAATATTGAATTAGCTTTTTATAGTGTAAATTATTATATTTGTCGAAATATTAATTATGGATTCGAACTTTACATGCTAATGGTGCTTCATTTTTGTTATTTTCATTTACTTACATATTGAAAATATACTTGAATAGTAGTTATTATTATTTTATTTAGCTACTGAATTTTAGGATATGTTTTACCTTGAGGTCAAATATAATTTTGAGGAGCAATAGTTATTACCTACTAATCTTTTATCTGCTATTCCTTATTTAGGAGCAATATTAGTAAATTGAGTTTGAGGGAGATTTACTGTTTATAATGCTACATTTACTATTTTAATATTTACTTACTGGGTAGGTAATTATTAAAATAATAAATATAGCATTAGTAACTAAATAGATATTTTTTTTTTAAATTTTTAAAATTAAAATTTTCGTATTTTTAAAAATTACTAAAAAAAAGGGTTTGAAATAATAAATTTTCTCACAAAAGAAGGGAACTTGAAAAAAAAGGAAAAAAAAGCGGGACCAAAGCCAAGACGCGAACCACGGAACTCCGATATCACGCCCGACCGACATACCACCTGAGCTATAACGACCGTTAATGATTAGTCGAAATTTACCTTCTTATATTGTAGCAGTTTTTTATTGCCTGAAAACATGGACAAAAGGATATTTTCTAAAAATAAATCCAAGCGTTCGTCGCTAAAATCGTTGGAGCCGTATAATTTTCTCATCTGGTTCGGTTATATAAATATTTAAATATATAAAAATTATAAATTAAAATGAAAAGATAAATATACATTAATATCAATAAAATAAAATAAATACAAAATAATGTTATATTATTATTGTTATTATTATTATTATAAGTTGTGGTTCGGTGAAGCTGCAACCTAATGGACCATGATATGAAAAGTGGTTGTTGACGTCAATTATTATTATTCTTATTATTTTTTCATTACTGCCTTTTTCAACCTCACAAGATACTGCAAAAAAAACTACGTATAAGTAAGTAAATCAGTAATATAGTGTTATGTATGATTCAGACTAAATAAAGGTTCCTAAAAATAGACGTAGATAAAGAAATTGCATAAAAAATTACTCAAATAAAAATGCAATAAACTTGTTAATTTTATAGGTACTTAGTAAAATATTAAAATAATAAGTTTTTTAGGATATTTATGTAAAATATAAAGGTTATATTATGTTCTAACTACGTTCACGCTTGCGCATATAAAACCGCGGAATTTCACTAGTTTTATTATCAAAATAATAATTGTCAACCCTACCCTAAGTTTGCCTTGATTTTACCACCTCAAACTCGTTTTAGGAGATCAAAACATAGAGAGAAAGATAGGAGACTATTTTTTATTTAATAAAAAATAGTCACTATATTACTGATTTACTTACTTATACGTAGTTTTTTTTGCAGTATCTTGTGAGGTTGAAAAAGGCAGTAATGAAAAAATAATAAGAATAATAATAATTGACGTCAACAACCACTTTTCATATCATGGTCCATTAGGTTGCAGCTTCACCGAACCACAACTTATAATAATAATAATAACAATAATATTAGTAAGGTAAATAGGCGTAGGGAAGTGACGACCCCATCGCCCGCTGACGAAACAGTTAAGTGACAAAACTGCTACGTCGGTGCAGTCAGTCAGCGCCTTGCCAAGAGGTGTGAGCGCCGTGCCTCGGCAGTACTCAGGGTGCAAAGGTCCGTTTGTGCTTACGGCCGTACAATGATGCAATGAAACGGTGCCGGGCCTGGGCGTCTCCCGTTAATTGGCGCCCAAAAATGGATGATGGATATGATTAGAAAGCGTATAGGGCCGCTGCCTGGGGGTCGCCGGGGCGCGTCTGGAGCTGGCGCTGGACGCGGCAGCATGCGGGCCGCCAGCCGAGCGCGAGGAGCTGCAAGATCACCTAGCAGCCCCCCGCATCCATCATCCCCACCAGACGGCTTGATGTCGGCAGGGTCCTCTCGGACTCGGCAAGCGGCATCCGCCGCTGGTGGAGTGCGCCGCATGCGTTGGACAAGAGATATGAACGCAAACGCATTGCGGGCGTACTATAGGGCGAAAGGGGAAGAAACTAAGGGGATAGCGTATCGGGCTCGGATGCATTGCTTTTTTTGCTGAGCTGGAGCCGTCTATTCTCGTCACGGAACAAAACCTGGCAGACCGAGTTCGGTACATCATGCGCTCGAAAATATTTGATGATGCCGAGCTCGAACGACTACGGCGTGAGGCCATTCCCTCATCGAATGAATTGGCTACGGCTGGGGATGCGGCTCCTCAGGCGACAGACCAGCTGCCACGCGTAGAAGATGCCATGGATCTTCCAGTTGTGGTTGATTCCGACGATGATGAAATGGTCTCCCACGAACTAGAGCAAATGAGGAGTATACTGGAAGAGGCGATTTTGGAAACGCGCACCATGCCTCTCGAAAATCGACCGCGACTTCCCCGCATACCCCTAAGCAAGCGAAATCGGGCTGTCGTGAGGGCTCTTAACCCTATGCTGGTAACCTATTTGGAAGCCAGCCGGGACCTTTGCGAGACGGACTCAGTTCTTTTTGGCGCCGCAGTGGCAGCTTGCCGTATTATTGGCGCCAAACTTCCCCTGGCTGGACGCGCTACTAAACAAAGTAGCGCCATCCCAGCCTGGAGAAAAAGAATTGAGGACCGTATCGCAAAGGCAAGGGCCCTTATCGGCAGACTGATAAGCTTCAGGTCGGGCAATAATAGACCGAGGGTTGTGCGCTCCGTTAGAATGGCGTTTGCTGGGACAAAAATCAGTTTGTCCCAGCCGGATATCACGCAGAAACTAACGGAGCGCATAGACGACCTGAAGCAAAAAATTGCTGCTTGGGGGAAGCGGATTCGCCGATTTACCGAGAGGTCAAGGCGGTTCAACCAGAATCGTCTCTTCCAGAGTGATCAGAAGAGGCTCTACAAATCATTGGAGCGACCAGAGGTATGTGGAGCGGGCCCAGGACCGGATCGGGCTAACACTGTCGCATTTTGGCGTGGCCTGTGGTCAGAGCCCGTAAACCACAGCGAGGGCTCTTGGACGGAAGTTATGGCGAGCCAGTGTGCGAGTATTACGCCCATGGACCCCGTCATCATAACGCCGGATGACGTAGCTGAGGCGGTCCGTAGAGCCCCGAACTGGAAAAGTCCGGGACTCGACGGACTGCATCACTACTGGCTGAAGGGGTTCATGGTGTGTCACGCTGTGCTCGCCCGTCAGTTTCAAGAGGCTCTCAACCAGAAGTCGCTCCCTAGCCTCTTCACTACTGGGATCACTCACTTGGTTCCTAAAGACCAGGTTACCACAGACCCGAGCAAATACCGCCCCATTACGTGTCTACCCACCATATATAAGACACTGACATCCATTTTGAGCGCGAGAATCACTCGTCACCTGGAGCTAAATAAGGTGATGTCACGCGCTCAAAATGGATGTCGGGGGCGGTGGTCGTGGAACCAAGGAACCACTCCTCATTGACGCGGTCATTGGCAAAGTGGTGAAACGCAACCGTCGGAACTTCTCCGCCGCCTGGATAGACTACAGAAAGGCATTCGACTCGGTGCCCCATACATGGCTAAAGAGAGTCCTCGAGCTGTACAAGATAGACTGTACAGTGAGAGACTTCCTCGAGCAGTGTATGGGGCAGTGGAGTACGATCCTTTGTCATCTGGGTGAGCGGATGATGGCTGCGGAGAACCACATAAGGATAAGAAGGGGTATCTTCCAGGGCGATTGTCTGAGTCCAATCTGGTTCTGCCTCTCCCTGAACCCTCTCAGTACCTTACTGGAGGGCTCCGGGAGAGGATTTCAGCTACGGAAAGGAGGGGCAAAAGTGACCCACCTTTTCTATATGGATGACCTCAAGTTATTCGCCTCCAGTCGCTCCCATCTTATGGAATTGCTAAACATCACTTGTGAATTTAGCAATTCCATTGGAATGGAGCTGGGGACGGATAAGTGTGCGGTCCTCCATGTTGAAAGGGGAAGGGTTGCTAACTCTGAGGGCATAGATTTATCTATGCCCGTCAACTTAAGGACCCTTTCCGAGGCTGAAACATACCGATACCTGGGTATGTCACAGAACATCGGTATCGATGAGGCTGGTATGAAACAGTCAGTTTGCGACGTGTTTTATGCACGCTTGACCAAAGTGCTTAACAGCCTTTTGTCCGGTGTGAATAAGACACACGTATATAACGGTTGGGTCATGCCTGTCCTTATGTATACCTTTGGCATACTCAGGTGGAGTCAGACTGAACTTAACGCCCTGGATAGAAAAGTCCGCACTACCATGACGTCCCATAGGATGCATCATCCGAGATCGTCGGTAATGAGGCTGTACTTGCCGCGAAAGCATGGTGGGCGTGGCTTTCTGAGCGCGCTCACCATGCATAATCGTGAAGTGTGCAGCCTCCGTCATTACTTCCTGGCGAGATCGGATGATCCATTCTATAATGACGTCATTTCTAGTGATAAAGGGCTTACCCCTCTATCCTTAGCCAACGAGCAATGGCAGGACCCAGCAGTGCTTAGCATTTCCGACCGGGAGACCGTATGGAAGGAGAAAGAGCTCCACGGGAAGTACTACAGGGCTCTTCATGAGCCCTTCGTAGATACAGTCGCCTCCCTCAACTGGCTGCGTTTCGGTGACCTCTTCGGGGAAACCGAGGGTTTTGTCTGTGCAATACAGGATCAGGTTATTAAGACCAACAACTATCGGAGATACATCCTAAAGGATGGCACCGTCGACGTCTGTCGAGCTTGTCGCCATCCCGGTGAGTCACTTAGGCATGTCATCTCCGGTTGTTCGGCGCTTTCTAACTCTGAGTACTTGCACAGGCACAACCTAGTAGCCAGAATTCTACACCAGGAGCTCGCTCTGAAATACGGTCTCGTGGAACGGAAATTGCCGTATTACAAGTACTTGCCGGAAGCCGTGCTCGAAAATGACCGCGCCAGGCTCTACTGGGACCGGGCCATCATCACAGACAGGACTATTCTTGCGAATAAGCCTGATATTGTGCTGATGGACCGGGCACAGTCAAGGATATTTTTGGTCGACATTACCATCCCGTATGACGAGAACCTCGTGAAAGCCGAAACAGACAAGCAATCAAAGTATCTGGACCTGGCTCACGAGGTGACCGACATGTGGGGTGGTATGCCGACCGAAATTATTCCTGTAGTCGTCTCTGCAAATGGGCTAATCCCAGTTAGCCTCTCTGGTCATCTGAGGCGACTGGGACTCCGTGACGGACCGCTCCGGGCTCAAATGCAGAAGGCGGTGCTCCTCGATACCGCCCGCATCGTCCGCCGGTTTCTTTCCCTTTCCCCCTAACCCTTGGCCGTTTGGTCTCCCCTGCCGAGGGCCTCCATCTGGTTGGGCTTTTATTTATTTATGTATTTTTGTATTTATTTTATTTTATTGATATTTATGTATATTTATCTTTTCATTCTCATTTATAATTATATATTTATACATCCCAACCAGATGAGAAAACTATATAGATACCCCACACAATAAAAATAACATAGTAAATAGATAATTTTTCTTTTCATTTTATTTATATTTATAAAAACCAACCAGAGAGAAAACTATACAGATACCCCAACATATAATATTAATAATAATATTCCACAAATATCACACAACGCCATCTAGTCCCAAGCTAAGCAGAGCTTGTGTTATGGGTACTAGACAACTGATAAACATACTTATATATTTCTAAATACATAAATATTATAGATAAATCATCACACAAACATTTGTCCTGGGTGGGAATCGAACCCACGACCTACGGCATAGCAGTCAGGGTCACTAACCACTAGACCAACAGGCCTGACGATAAATAAAATAAAGTCTCTAGCTCGAGAGGAGAGGAGCAGTGGTAGCTCAGATGGTTAGCGCTTGCTAAAATTTTCACAGTGTGCGAGCAAACCGGGTTCGATCCCCGCCGGCACCAATAATATTGTAATTGCAATTTTAAGTGTTGATTTACCACGTGCTCAGTGGTGAAGGAAAACATTGTGAGGAAACCTGCATGTCTGAGAAATAAGAAAAATAATATTTCGAAGACATGCAAAGTTCGCCAACACGCAGTGGGGCAGCGCGGTGGATAATTCCTTTCCTAGGACCCTTTCAGAAAATAGAATAGAAATAAAAAAATAATAAATCCAAACTTCATTTAAAACCAAACATATAAATTGTAAAATAGCTGCAGGTATCTATAGCCAAGTAAAAGATATTCCTTTACTCCAACTCGTCCATGTTTCCCAAAACAATTTTTAATTAAGCTTTATATTATAATGCGGATTTTTTTATATTTAAAATTTTAATAATAAAGCATTTCGTACGTCTCAGCCGAGGCGCAAATATTTTTCGGCCGCAAATTTATAAGACCGATTTTTTATTCAAACATAAACATGGTTTTTTAATTAAATCTACCAATCATAAAACGACACGCATTTTTATTGAACACTTCCTATTCAATTCACAAAGTACCTATTATATTTGTTTATATAAAAAAGTATATTTAAGTACAATCATAAAACTAAATGGAAACACAAAGTAGGAAAATGAATTGAGTTATAAAACACATAAATCAATGGGCAAATGTAAAAATACTGGAGGCAGCAGCCCTATCGCATGTTTACGTACCGCACGGCTGTAATATTTATTTCTAAGATACGGCCGAGTTACAATATACCGTGACGTAAGCGCATCGGTTGGTAGGTACTCAAATAATATTATGTTTGCGGCGAAATGCGGACGCAGCGACCAGCGACGCGGCCACCTCGTACAAACACATACAGCGTAATGCCGCCCGCACTCTGCGCACGCCCCTTTATCATAGAAGTTACACAATTTTCGGAATTATTTCAATTAAAAGTGAAAAAACGAACTTAAAAATTTAAATAAAACGTGGAGAATATAGATTTTTTCATTATCTATCCATTAGTGTTATCCTCAAATGATTAGAGCGTTGCGTTTAGCAACAGATGCATGTAATCAAGAATTTTAGTCATTTTTTAAAAGTTGATTTTAAATGTATTTATAGCACATAAAAATAAATTAGAACGTGGAATGCGATGATAAGATATCGAACATTAATAATGCACTTTTAGATGTAGTTTATTTTTCATAACTAATGAGATAATAGAGT